TGGTTCATTCTCCAGTGGAAGCTAGCATTGGAGGTAAGAGATCTGCTCTTGAGCTTTTGTGCATCTAGATCTATCAATTGTGGGGTTTTTGGAGCATAAATGAGGTTCATCTCGAGTTTGGTGTAAGATCTGAGGTTGCTACCTCAAATCTAGGATTGTAGTGGTCCAGGAAGCCATAAAGTTCATGCCCAAGAGTTGTTAGTGAAGCCTTCTTGTCCCAAACCCTATCCCAAGAGTGTTCTATTCTTAGATCTCTTTGGATTCACGTAAAGTTTGCAACTTTACGTGAGGAATAGCTTGTGGAAGGGTAGATCTATGAATTGGAGCCCCTGCATGGCTTGGAAAGCCACTCAAAGGATTAAGAGCTAGTGGTACTCAGCGAGTTGCATGAAGATAGGCAGAAACTCAGCGAGTTTGAAGAACAACTCGACAAGTTGGAAGAACAACTCAGCGAGTTGGTTGAAGATAGCCTTGGACTCGGTGAGTCTGTTCGTGAGGTCCTAACCTTTCCTGGTTGAGCTGTGAATCGGTGAGTTTGAGCGGGAAGTGACTCAGAGTTCGTAGGACTCGGCGAGTCTTGGGGCGACTCGGCGAGTTGGATCGTGATATGGGAGTTTTCAGAGTTGAGGGACTCGACGAGTCAGCGGGCTGACTCGGCGAGTAGTGTCAGTCAGGAAGTTTGACTTTGACTGAGGAGTTTGACTTTGACCAAGAGTTGACCAGTTGTCTTCCAAGGGTAATTTGGTAGTTTTTGGTATTTATTGAGTTCGGTATTTTGGTATTGTCAGTGGTGGAGTTCGTGTCAGAGGTTGGAGCAACGTGATCTTATCTTTTCAGTCAGCAGTTGCAAGGTGAGTTATCCTCACTATATCGACAGGGTCTAAGGCACCAATGTCGGCCCTTTATTGGATTGTAATCTAGGTATCGTTGTTATGTTGTTGCTTTGCTATGTTTGCATCATGGTAGTTAGGATGGTATATGTTAGAGACCTGGTTAAGGTCGATATCTTGGTATATAGGATGATGTGATGCTAGTGACCGGTTAGGTCAGTATCCTGTTTGGAGTATGTTATGTTATTTGATCTGCTAGATCGGTTTGATTGGATGTGAATTGTTATATGATTGTATGTTTATGTGCACATGGTTATCGGACTGGAGTTGGGTTGAGGCGGGTCCTGCTTTGCACTGTAGGCCAACACACCCAGGGCGGACCGGTTATCCCGAAGGCCAGCGAGCGGTCCGGATAGGCTATAGGCCCCACGAGGGCGGACCAGACGTGCCGAGGCTCGGAGAGTGGACCAGGCCGACTGAAGGCCCGGTGCGGGCGGACTAGTCATACTGTAGACTTAGAGAGTGGACCATGTAGGTTGAAGGCCCGGTGTGGGCGGACCAACCACACTGCAGACTCGATGGATATCGATAGACTTAGAGGGTGGATCAGGTGGACTGAAGGCCCGGTAGGGCGGACCAGTCACACAGTAGACCCGAAGTGCATAGATATTCTGTTCGGTTATGTTATGTTATGTGTGGTATATGTGGTTGGTATTTTGGGGGTATCTCACTAAGCTTTCGGGGGCTTACAGTTGTGGTTTATATTTTTCAAGTACTTCAGGAAACTGTGGCAAGGCGAAGGCGTGATCGTACCACTCCTCATGTTTATGTTTTACGATATGGTTCTGGGAAGACTCTGATAATCATTGTATTGAAAACCTTTTTGTAATGACTTAATGAAAGTGGGTTGTTTTTGAAATATTTAAATTGGCTTGAATTTTTAGAGTGTTACAAGAACATTTGTTCACCAAGGAATGTGGAAACAAATGAACTAACATATGAACAGTACCGCTGGATAAAAGAAGTTCACGAAGAGGCATTTGCAATATTAAATTTCATCATGAACCATAACATGAGGCTCTCAATTTTCACCAAGTTTACTCCTCTTAGGCTGCTTTGTGTTGCTGACACTCGCTTTGCCTCCATTATTGTGATGCTTAAGAGATTGAAACTTATCAAAAAGGGTCTTCAAGCTATGGTCATAAGCGAAGAATAGTGTTCTTATAGATTAGATGACACTGAGAAAGCAAACGCTGTGAAAGAGTATATTTTGAATGATGATTGGTGGGATAAAGTAACATATATTCTTAGTTTCACTGGACCTATATATGAGATTATTAGAGCTTGTGATACTGACAAGCCATGTTTACACTTGGTCTATGAGATGTGGGATTCTAAGATTGAGAAAGTGAAGATTGAGATCTACAAGAAAGAAAAACGTCCGACATCTCAAATAAGTTGTTTTTACAATGTTGTGCATCGTATTTTAATGGCTCGATAGGCGAAGAATAACACTCCCCTACATTGTTTAGCTCACTCTTTACATCCAATGTATAAGATTTTAAATTATACACTTGATTTGTATTATATATTTATGTTTTAACTTTTGGATGTTTGTAGATATTATAGTGATGCATGGTTAATGGAGGATTCTACAAGATGCGCTCCACATAGGGATGAAGATGGGATAAGGGAGACGTGGGGCCAATAAGAGCTTCTTCTAATGCTCATTTCTTTTGAATTTGGGCATCTATCGATTTTCAAAGAAAAAAGTGAAGGAAACACCTTTTCTGGTAGATGTAACGTTTTTGGGCAGTTGGAAACAGAGAGATGCTGGAGAGAGGTGAGGTGTTGGAGTCTCCCATTGAAACTGATTCCAGTTTCCCAAATTCCAGTTTCCCAAATTCCTTTTTTCCTTTATGGAAACAGAAGCAAGAGATGAAGGAAGAAGATGTGACAATTGATTACAGTTTTTCACATCATTATATAGTCCGCGATATAATATTAAGTTATCTAGTGTAGGGGTGTTCAAAACCGGATATCCGAAAATTTGGATATCCGAATTTCGGATATCCCAAAATTCAGATAGTGTATTATTGGTATCCAAATCCGTATCCGAAATTTCAGATATCCAAATTCGGATATCAATATCGGATATCCAAATTTTTTGGCTTTTTTGTTATTATCAAATATCGATTAACTTAAAATAACCTATTTTAAAATATATTAAGTTGTTAATTGTCTATAAGATGCAACTCAACCCAACAGTTACAAACCACTTGCAATTCAAAACAAAAAAGACGTTGAGCCATCATGTATTAAATGTTAAAACATTTGTAACCACAATCAAGACTCATTGTCCGGATAGACCTAAAAAGATAAAAACATTTCGCTCTTAATGTCCTAATAAATAAGACATAACCACCTTAAAAAAAAACTATAATTTCAGTTTTAGTTGCAAGTCATCATATGTATCGATTTTGAAAGTAATCCTATAAGCTCCTTTATATTTGTTTTATGTGGAAAAAGAAAAGACACCTCCATTTGTCATGAAGATTATGTTCATCTGTTTCAAGTTATTAATATTATTAGTTAACAGATTCGTACTTAACATTTTGCCTTTTCAAAATGTTCATAACCATCTTATAACAAAAATATAAATCATACATTCCATATTAAAAGTAAACCTATTTATTATATAAAAGCATTTAGTTTACCTTGTGAATAATAAATAAAATATGATAAAAATAATAAAAAATAAATTTTTGGATATCGGATATCCGAAATATTCAAAATTTTAGAAAACGAGTATTTGTATCCGAAAGTGATAGCAGTACAAAGAGGTGCAACATGTGCAGAGAATTGCTAATGCTATCCTGTCACTTGGATACGTAACAATGTAAGTATTTGTATGACTTTTCGTACAAACATCTCCAAAACACTTCTGATTAGAGCATTTTAAAACTATTTCTACTGTCAAAGCAGTACTAATTTTCTCACAAGCAAAGCCACAAACACCTTGTGTGCAAACTTATCAACCACTTTCCATAGTCTTCAAAGTCCCTCTGTTTGAACCAGCAGTTGGCAACTCACAGACAGGTCGAGGTGGAGATGGAGGCAGAGGCTAGTTTCTATGTTTTATCATAAGCCCACTGTTAAAAGATCCATGTTAATAATAATTTTATAACAGGAATGATACTGAGTAAATTGGCACATAGTAGTAGAGAGCTTACCCTTTGCAATTTTTCCCCCATTGTTTCTGTTGTTCGATCATTACAGATTGTCCAAAAAGATCAAGCTGATAAATTTATAATCCATCTCCAAGATTTGATCCCACATAAATTACAAACTCCTACATCTCCAAATTTATGAAAAACATACAAAATTCAGAAAGTCTATAAAGAGAAGTTGTTCATTCGGAAATGACTACCGGATACATTATGACAAATTAATTATACGAGTACAATTCAGCAATTATTCACCAAATAACAAAAGAAAAAATAATTGAAAAATGAATCATAAACAATAAAACACATATCATGGTCCCTCCAAAGAAGTACACTAAATAGAAATACCAAATATGCTCTGAAAGGAAAAAACATGGAGCTAATAAATATATGGCAGTGAAAGATAAATAGCATTTCTGTTCACGATAATTCACAAATATAGAATCATATTTAGCCGTGTTAATATCGATCTACTTAATGAAAATTACATCAACATAATCTTAATGGGTTTAATTAGTATTAAAGCGGGTCAGAAGTCATGCATAAGACTACATTAAATTAGGCGGTATATTATCAAAATGACTCATGATTTGAAAGTATTTAACTTGTTTGTTTGTACTACATTAAGTTATTATTATTCTTATCCTTGTGATTTCTTCTACAACTTTAAAAGACAATGATAACTTTAGTCTTCACAACCAATCCTAGTCCACCATACACCAACTTAATTCCTTTTGCAATCCATTGTGGTACTCTCACGTTTTACAGCCCTAATCATATTAAATCAGTAAACATACCATGTTAACAAACGAATATCTAGATGTAAATAGAACTTTTATCGAAATACATCCTTGGATATCTAAAATGTTGGTTGAATGGCAGTAATTTAATTTATACGTTATGGAAGTAAAAGAAGTCAAAAGGCATAGATAATGGCGCACCTTCACAAAAACATATAGTCATCCTCGTGGAGGCGTGGGATTAGAGAGACGACGGGCCAATAGGAGCCTCCTATACTAGTCTTTTTTTTCAAATTTGGGCATTCAATAATTCCCAAACTCAAAAGTGAAGACAACTTTTCAGGTAGATCCATCATCTTTGGGCACTTGACAATGCTGAGATGTTGGAGGGAGGCGAGGTGTTCGAGTCCCGTTGAAACTGATTCCAGTTTCTCAAATGTTTCTATGCAAAGAGAAGTAAGAGATGAAGGAAAAAGACCGGACAACCGACTAAAATCAGTCACATCTTCATATGGTCCGCCATATAGATGTAGGTAACCAAGTGAGGTTGGAAAACTCTGTGGGCCCCACTCTGACATGGGCTTCTTCAACCCTCCTATGGTAAGGTAACACAGTTTTGGAGGCCAAAGCCCACCAGGAAAGGAAGCATCCAGACTTGTACAGTTTGTTATTTTCAAATTTGTTAACGAGGCAAGATTCGGCAACTCATGGTCAGGAAATGGAAATGACTCTAGACTTGGACACTCTTCTATTACGAATGCTATCAGTTGGATGAAGTACTTCAATTCATTCATCGATTTAAGTTTCCTGCAGTTCCGGATGAAAACTGAGTTGAGCTTCTGCCCTCCTCCTGTTGAGAAAGACACAGATGTAATTGAATCACAGGTCAAAATAAACAATGACTGAAGACTATCTGGACAGCTGCAATGCTGTAAGCTGTCACAATCAGATACCCACAACCACCTAAGAGATGTTAGGTTGCTCCCACAATTATCCTCCTCTTTCTCTCCTAAACTCACCAAATTTGAACAATTACGTACCTCCAACCTCCTTAAATTCGCAAGAAGCTTACCTGCCTCTGCTTCAGATTCCCACAAGTATTTTATTTCACTACACAATTCTATTGTTACTTTTTTAACTTCCCCAAGATACTTCATAACACCTCCCCACACATCAAGAGTAAGACCTGAAATATCATGTAATATCAACTTGGTGACTGATGAAGCGACATGAACCAGGCTTGTCAACACACCATGACCACATCCTTTTACTGTCATAACTCTGAGTAAAGGTAGTTTTTCAAGTGAGACTTCAACCAGATTAGGACAAAATAGAATAATAAGCTCTTTAAGGCATGGAAACACTGCTGCATCTACAACCCCATTGTTATTGGTTGACCATACCTCCCATGTTGGCATACTATCAAAAGTCAGAATTTCAAGGGAAGGGAATGCAACACCTGTTCCAAGCAACTCCCAACCTACAACTTTCACCTTACTCATCTTCCCAATATACAACTCCTTAAGTGATGGTAGCTGCCCAAGTCTTGGTAGAGATGTACATTCTTCACACCCATATATCGACACATGAGTTAACCCAACAAACGAAGGATCCCCAACCCAATTTGGAAACTCTGTACCCGCATATAACACAATTTTAAGCTTCTTCAAACTATCAGTTTGAGGCTTCAGCTCAGTAAGGACCTCCTTATCATGTGTCTCCTTTCGAAAAACGTTCAACCCATAACCCCAATCCAACTCTAACTCGGTAAACCTCTTTTGTGATAAGTGTGAGCCGCGTGCCTCCGTTTCATTTTGTACATTGCCCAACCCCCAAATGGAAATTTTCCCATGGAGATTTTGCAAGTTTTTAAGCTCGGTTATTGCAAATCCGTTTTCACCTCCAATTATGATCTTAGAGAGAGTTTGTAGGCCTTTCAGCTCACCAATCCCTAAGGGCATCTTCTTCAAACCTGGAGTATCCCTAATGTCCAAATGCCTCAAATTTTTAAGCTTTAAGAAGCTGTTGGGCAACTTAGTTAAACATCTACAGCCAAAAAGGATCAATGTCTGGAGATTATAAAGATTGCAGACGTTTTCTGGTAAAATCTCGATATCAGTTTGAGATAAATTCAGATACCGCAAGTGCTTTAGACTGCCAATGAATTTGGGTACCTCGCTTATGCCAAGATGACTCAAACTTAGGACCCTTAACAATGGTAACTCCTGAAGTAAGTTATCCAGGACCTTATTTGATAAGTAGAATGTTTCCCTCTTTCTTATCGCCCCAACAGATAAGGCTAATAATGTTCTCAAACTTTTAGCTCCTTTTAGTGGCTCGAACCTTCCGGAAACCATGTATTCCTCACGAACAAATGACAGATGACGGTACTTTTCGAATGATTCATTCCTATATTCTTTCTCCATCCCAATGTCTACCCTTGAAAAAAACTCTCCAGCAACAGATGTGGCCAACTCACTCATGAGATCATGCATCACAAACAACGATTTGTCATTTGGTGCAGCTTGAAAAAATGACCTTGACCACAACGCATTAAAATACTCGAGACCCAAGCGTTCCATTGTCTTGTTTGTCGTTGATTGCAAAAAACCTTCTGCCATCCACAACAGAATCAACTTCTCCTTGTCAAACTCAAAGTCCTTGGGGAACAAGGAGCAGTATGCAAACAACTGCTTCAAACATGGAGAGAGATCATGGTAGCTTAATTTGAGAGCCGGAACAATCCCATCTCCCTTTTCTAGACTCCATATCTCACTATTCAGCACTTCTTTCCAGTCTTCCTCATCTATTTTTGTCCTTAATAACCTTCCAAGTGCTTTCAAAGCCAACGGCAACCCATTACATTTTCTGACAATACCTTCACCATGTGGTTTAAGTAGCGGATGTGAATCAAAGTTTTTTTCTCCCAATGCATGCTGACAAAATAAGGATAAAGCACTTTCATCAGATAGAATAGGCAAATGATAAGGTTCATTGTTACCAAGTTGGGTTAACAACGACATCTTCCTGGTTGTCATGATAACTTTACTTCCGGGTGCCCCTGCAAGAAATGGCCCTGCTAGGATTTCCCAATCCGTATAGCTTTCACTCCACACATCATCTAAAACAAGCAGAAATCGCTTATTTGAGATCTTCTCTCTTAAAGCTACTTGCAGCAGATTTAAATCCTTAAATTCTTGGCTTCCCCCACCTATTGATTGAAAAATAATATTGCTTATATTGAAAATATCAAACGCATCAGAAACACAGACCCACGCCATGAGTTCAAAACGATCCTTCCCTTGCATTTCATCATACAAAAGTCTAGCGAGAGTGGTCTTACCTACCCCACCCATACCAACTATGGGCACGATGCTAAAGTTTCTATCACATGGTTCATATAGCTTGTGGATCAAAGCATCCTTTTCATCTTTGCGTCCAATAATACTAGATGCATCTACCAGAGAGGTCTCTAACCTTCTATTTCTATGTTTTGGGCTTTCACCTATCACACTCAAACCAAGCTTATATTTTTCCTCAAACAGTTCTTCTAACTTGGTGATAATATTTTCAAACCTGTCGTGCATCCTAACACTTTCGGGTGAGATAGTAAACATACTTGGTAAGAGCTTTCTTAACTTGCTCGGGGTTTCAGATTCCTCTGAGAATTCACGATGCATAGCTTCAGTTTCCAATTCGTCAAGTAGGTCGTCTATGTCGTAAGCCAAATGTTGGAGACTATTCAGCCATTCTTTAACAGCTTCCTGACGTATTTCCTTCTCAGAAGCATCATTAAGCAGATCTTTGATCTTGATTAACGACATCTTTAATTTCTCCATGTCGTCGTCATCGATTTTCTTGAAACGAGCAAACTGCTTGAAGGTATCAGAGGCCAGCTTGTCACAAAACAAAGAGTACAAGGCAGAAATGATTCCAGCCATTGCTTGTGGTGAAGGCGTAGGTATGAATGATCGGGATGAAGATGAATTAAGTGTGACTGTGGATTGAAAAGAACGATTCAAGCCTTAGTTCAGTTAGTTGTCCATTGTTTTGGTCAACGTCTTTTTACCACTGCTTTACTTTTGTATTATAAATATAAAGTGATATTTCCACTAGTAATTTTAAATTTTTAATTCATCCACTTAACAAATATGTAATCATTTTATATATAAAGTGATATTTCCACTTGTGAATTAAAATTTTTAATTCATCCACTTAACAAATATGTAATCATTTTAAATATAAAGTGATATTTCCACTTGTGATTTTCAATTCTTAATTCATCCACTTAACAAATATGTAATCAAATGACTCAACAAATTTTCACATCTCTGTTCCTATAACTGATGTCTACTTGGACCTGAGCCCATTTATTTTTAACTGCTGTCATACACATGTCATATAATACAAAATTTCTGTAGTGAGATATATTTTCTAGGTGGCCCACAAAGATTAGCATTATGCCATTATACAGAACTTGTGCTGTGTATGCTAGAAAACACGTTTAAAATGTACAAAACTGTTGTTAACACTACAGGAAAGTGATAGCAGTACAAAGAGGTGCAACATGTGCAGAGAATTGCTAATGCTATCATGTCACATGGATAAGTAACAATGTAAGTATTGGTATCGACTCTTCGTACAAACATCTCCAAAACACTTCTGATTAGAGCATTTTAAAACTATTTCTACCATCAGAGCAGTACTAATTTTCACACAAGCAAAACCACAAACACCTTGCGTGCAAACTTATCAACCATTTTCCATACTCTTCAAAGTCACGTGTTTGAGACAGCAGTTGGCATTTGGCAACTCACAAACAGGTCGAGGTGGAGATGGAGGCGGAGGCTAGTGTCTATGTTTATCATAAGCCCACTGTTAAAAGATCCATGTTAAGGATAATTCTATAACAGGAAGGATACCGAGTAAATTGGCACATAGTAGTAGAGCTTACCCTTGGTTTCTTCTTCTGTTTTTCTTCATCTGTTTTTTTTTTACCTTCATTTCTTCTTGTATCAATGCAAATGCTTCATCAATTATTTCTTCTTCTGTTTTTATGATATTATCAGAATTGAGAAACAATTTAAGTGACACAGTATTGAATGAAATGATATAACCATAGATGGAAATGTTTTAAGTAAAATTAAGAAGAAATTGATGTATCTGTTTTGTTTGAAAATGAAAAATTACGTTCATTCTTGTATCAATGCGAACTCATTCATCAATTATAGCTCCTAATGCCATTGGTATGAATTTAACTTTAGAATTATGAAAACTACTCGCACTATCAATACTTACACCAATCATTTACGAACAAGTTAAAAAGTAAATTACTAAAATCGTTCCTATGGTTTTGTCAAAATTTGGTCCCTAACTTTTTCTTTGCACTCGGACCATCCCTATGGTTTGATTTCGTTGTGTTTTTCGTCCCTATGGTTTGGTCAAAATTGCACGTTTGGTCCTTAATTTTATGTATGTAAGGGACAAAACACGCAACAAAATCAAACCATAGGGACGATCCGAGTGCAAAAGAAAAGTTAGGAACCAAACGTGAAATTCTAACCAAACCATAGGGACGATTTTAGTAATTTACTCAAGTTAAAATTAAAAAAAGAATTAAACTATAAGGATCTGTGACTCTGCAGATAGCATAAAAGAAACCAACCTTACACACCCGATGGCATATGCATTAGCATTGAATGCTACAATTGTGAATCATAAGGGTGGGTCATGAATCCTGCAAAAATAAATCAACATAAGCTTTTCATTCCAAAATGACTACCGGATACATCATGTCAAATTAATTATGTGAGCAAAATTCATCAATTATTTTACCAAATAACAAAATAACACATAATTTAACAATGAATCATAAACAGTAACACGCATATCAAGATCACTCCAAAGTACACTAAATAGAAATACCAAATATTCTCTAAAAGGGAAAAACAATGGAGCTAATAAATAGATGGCAGTAAAGATAAATAGCATTTTTGTTCACAATAATTTCACAAATATAGAATCATATTTAGCTGTGTCAAAATTGATCTACTTAATAAAAATTCCATTCACTTCACCTTAATGGGTTTAATCAGTGTTAGTACTCGGTACTTAAATCATATGGGTACAACAGTAGGTTGATATTAGGCAGTACATAATCAAAATGATTCATTATTTGAACGTATTTAGCCTGTTTGTTTGTTCACCATTAATTTTGGATATTTTACAACGTAATAATGTACTGATTTCTAGATGTTTGGTTTGGTAACCAGTTTAATTCAGTAAGCATGCCATGTTAACAAACAAATATTGAGACACAAATAAAACTTTTGTTGTAAAAATACATAGGCACTTGGATTGAGATAATATTTAAAAATTTTGTTCGATTTACAGTTATTTAATTTATACATTACGAAATAAAAAGAAGTTAAAAGACATAGAGAAGGCCGGACCTTCACAATAAGATATAGTCATCCTCGGAGATGCAGGGGAATTAGGGAAACGACGGGCCAATAGGAGCCTCCTATACTAGTCTTTTTTTTCAGATTTGGGCATTCACTAATTTTCAAACTCAAAAGCGAAGGCAACAACTTTTCTGGTAGATCCATCATCTTTGGGCACTTGACAATGCTGAGATGTTGGAGGGAGGCGAGGTGTTGGAGTCCCGTTGAAACTGATTCCAATTTCTCAAATCTTTCTATGCGAAGAGAAGTAAGAGATGAAGGAAAAAGACCGGACAACCGACTAAAATCAGTCACATCTTCATATGGTCCGCCATATAGATGTAGGTAACCAAGTGAGGTTGGAAAACTCTGTGGGTCCCACTCTGACATGGGCTTCTTCAACCCTCCTATGGTAAGAGAACCCAGTTTTGGAGGCCAAAGCCCACCAGGAAAGGAAGCATCCAGACTTGTACAGTTTTTTATTTCCAAATGTGTTAACGAGGAAAGATTCGGCAACTCATGGTCAGGAAATGGAAATGACTCCAGACTTGGACACTCTTCTATTCTGAATGCAGTCAGATGGATGAAGTACTTCAATTCATTCATCGATTTAAGTTTCTTGCAGTTCCAGATGGAAAGTAACTTGAGCTTCTGCCCTCCTCCTGTTGGGAAAGTGACTTGAGCTTCTGGAGGAATCCTAATCACCTCCAGCTAACATGATCAACCCTTCCACACCTGCAGCAGCCTAAACCCTTGGAGTGGCAGACTCCCTTGTGCACTCCCCCATACATGTTGCACTGCCTCTAGCCCTGTTGTCCTTTCACCCGATGATCAGAAGTCTTGGGTCTCTCCTCGGGACCCTCTACTATACACACCTGGCATGACCCTCTCTTCCCATGGTACTCTAAGTCAATCTCGCATCTGCAACCCTTACGTATCTATGACATCCCCATTTTCACGGCCAGAAAAGATTGATTTTGTTTATGCTTTATAAAAATCAGAGTATCTCTTTCAATAAAAACGTTGCGGAATTTGTTCCCAGAAAAACATCATAATTTCATTATCAAACCATTTTCGAAGAAATATATTTTTATTCCTTTTAAAACATTTGGGATGTCGCATCAATACAGAAACATAAGCATAAACATAACTTACATTCATTTACACTAGTGATCTATATCCCCTTAATCTCTTAGTGTAATGTAACTTCACATCATCACCCGTGACACAAGTAAACTAAGTGAGTCAGGTTGGGAAACCTAGTGGGTACATAGGGTTTTCAACCCACAATAATATAATTATTATGTTTAATCATCAAATAATTAACCCAATTACTCATCCCCATTATCTTCTTTATTCCTAAGTACCTTCCCTAAGGATTTATCCTAAGGATTGTCTCCTACATCATATTTACATCTCATCTCCTTACATCACATTTCCTTATATGTTTGTTCCTAAGGACTCCCCTAAGGATCATTGCCTACATCGCATAGACAGTATTGATTCAGGGATTACTCCCTCAATACGTGCCAAACAAGGGTTAGGGTATCATCGTATGAATACGTAGATACAACATCGCCTGAACTCGTAATTCATAGTAAGGGGTCAGAGTATCATCGCATGAATACGTAGTTACAACATCGTCTGAACTCGTAATTCATCACTTATAGGCTATAAGTCTGCTGGTGTTTCCACGAGGTTGTCTATAATAGTCCATGGTCACCATCTATACTCTGGTAGACGACTACATCTCTAAATTGCTGGACAAGGTTATAGTATCTTTCATCTTACATGACTGATTCATCATCACCTATCTATCCTCATCTAATTATCATCACCTATCTCGCATCATTTTATTTAATCACACATCAACTATTTCATCTACCCATGTTTTATCCCAACATATTTGTAGATATCAAATAAATATATAGTTTAAATCATTTAAAACATGTATAAATTCATTCATCCAGCTAGATAGCAAGTATCCAGATAATATGCAGACATGACATGTAATTTATATAAAATACTCCATATCTATGTGTAAGATGAAAGTAACTATACCCTCACAGCACATAATTTATATTAAATACTTCATATCTATGTGTAAGATGAAAGGAACTATGCACTCACAACACATAATTTATATTAAATACTTCATATCTATGTGTAAGATGAAAGGGACTATGCACTCACTTGTTAAAGTGATGATTCCAAACTCGGACAGCGCTTCGCTTCTTAACAATATAATTTCCTTCGACGAAACCTAGTATTATTACCACTAGATTTTAGTCTAATATTTACCGTGACTAATTATTAGTCTTAGCATTATTATTATTATTATACGGTCCTAATAACATTACTATATTTAAATAAAAGTTATATTATAAATAGTGTAGGCGTAGCTCACTCACAGCGGATTTTTATTATAAAAAAAAAGGGCTTCGCTGGAGCAGCGTTTCCGAGCCGAAAGCTTTTCTTCTCGGAGCCGTCGGGCGCTCCGGGGCTTCCTTATCACAAAGAAAATCATCTCATACATAGTCACCTACTAGTGGGCCGGCATTGGTGCCTTAGACCCACCTCTACTGGAAGGTAACTCAACTCACACTGCTGAAGTCCCGTAGACATAATCCCCAGCTGTTGGATGATAGATTCTCAAAGTGTTAATATCAAAACACCAATTAATAATTGGGTTCCAACACATAACCACAAATACATATGTGGGGGTAAATTCTACTTTACCCCTAACTTAGCTTTATTCAAGCCCAAGTCCCAATCCAAAGGCCCAAAAGTCAACTATAAGTCAAAGCCCAACATATGGAAAATTGGGCCCAAACCTTTACAAGGTCTTACCATAAGGCCCAACCATTTATTTCAATCTAACATTCAACATTATAGTGGCCCAATATCACATAATCCTAAAGGTCCAAACTATGGCCCATCTATGGCCTAATTTTCCAAATTAGGCCCAACTCCTCATATGGGCCTTACATCGAAGCCTGTTAATTATTCTAGTCCATTTGCTTGATCTTGGATGGCCCATTAATAATCTAATCATCAAGGCCCAATAAAAGGCCAAACAATAAACCCAAGTGAAATTAGGGTTTTCACATAAAATGACGATTAAGGTTAAGTGTTTCTCACTTAACCTATTAAGGACTTAATCCATTAAGTCCATCATTCTTCTAAATAACTCGTATGGTGTGATTGGGCTTAACACACAATTACATTCCCATGGCCCAAATGTGGGTCCCGATAAGTCCAACCCATAAATCCAATATTAGGGTTTTCTAAACCCTAATTAGGGTTTCCAACCCCATCTTAGTCCTATAGGCCCAATAGCTAGGTCTTTTGACTAGTTAAGGTTCATTAGGCCCATTAGAGTTAACTAGGTCCATTAGTCATGTGTTTGGGCTTTTTAGGTCAATTAGGGCTTCATTGGTCCCATTGAGGTTTATTAGGCCCATTAGGGTTTTAGTCCCTTGTCCAAACATCTAAACGAGTCACAATCCAAATAAGGCACATTGCCAGTCGACACTGCGGCCGATGGCGGTAGCAGGCGGCAGCCACCACCTCACGGTGGTGGTTTTTAGTTTTCCTTTCATTATTCCAATTTGTAATTACACTTTACAATGCTAAATCACAAATAAACACACACACATACACACGGTAGTGCATGGTGGCAGCCACCACTTTACAGTGGTGGTGGTGGTTGTTCTTAATTTCCTGGCCAGACAAAACCACTCACGATACACACACAATAGAAATAACACACACACACACACACTTCAGACTTCACTATACATTGCAGCCACCCACTTGGTGGCTCACAGCGGCAACAACAATGAACTTAGGATGCCAGGCACCACCTCACGGTGGTGGTGGTGATTTCTTGTGGTTTCCAGTCAAGCACACACACCAACCAGCAATCCTTGCTTGGAAAACGAACCCAACACCCACCTGTGGTAGGTGGCGACGCTGACAGCAACCCAGGAAGGCAGCAGCAGCGGGGAACCGCAGTGCGTACGGCGGCTAAAGCAGCGTCACTCGAACACAATACCCCCCCCCCCCGGGGTGGCAACCGACGAACGGAGCCACTGAAATGATCCACACAACGGCGGTGTGAGCTGTAGTAGTGGCAACAGACGAAGGAATGCCCGCCAGCGGATGAGAGCTTGACATTGCGACCGCAAACTAATCGAAAAACGAATGGAGGATGGTGGCAACAACGCTGGAGACGAAGTGGGGGTATAAGGATGAAGAGGTGGCAGCAGACGTCGGCCACTGTGGTGCCTACAACCGGCAACAGCCACACGACGGTGAGATACCCGACTGATCTACGTCCTAAGGTGGGTCCTCGATCCGCACAACGCCTGAGCAATAATGAAACGACCCAAAATTACAACCCAAAAAAAATTTTGTTTTTAATATAATTAAAACCGTAATCAGAGTACCATATAATAAAACCATGCGTGATGTATTCCAAAACATACTAAAATACTGTGCGGAAAACTGTATTATACTACATCAAATCAAACAACTAAATCAATCCCAGGCTAAAGCTGAGGCAGTGGTGTGTGCGATGCCGTCATCCCGAGCTCTTCCCTTTGCTTGCGGAAGTACCTGAAACCAAAACTGAAACTGTAAGCACGAAGCTTAGTGAGCTCCCCCAAAATACCACATACCATACAATAACTATATCATGTAAACACATATTGGGCCTTGCCCACTGCATCGGGACGAAACCCGGAAACTGCATCGGACCGAAGTCCGGAACTGTCTGGGACCTTGTCCCCTGCATCGAACCAAAGTCCGGAACTAACTGCATCGGACCGAAGTCCGGAACTGACTGGGACCTTGTCCCCTGCATCGGACCAAAGTCCGGAACTAACTGCATCGGACCGAAGTCCGGAACTGGCTGCATCGGACCGAAGTCCGGAACTGACTGCATCGGACCGAAGTCCGGAACTGAGCATAGCATAGCATATCATAACAACTAGTATGAACACACATACTGCATACTACATCGGGCCGTAGCCCGGAACACATAAAACATAGCTCACAAATCCTGTCTGAGCCACGAAGGCATCGAACATACTAACTACGGCATCGGATCAAGTCCGGAAACTACTGCTAACTAGACGGGCCGGCATTGTGGCCTTAGACCCGTCCCTACTGGAAGGAAACTCACCTCGTAAACTGGCGGCTGAGTGTGGTCTCTGAAAGCTAACGGCTGCTGCTCCTGAATCTCCTCGGCTACAAGTCCATGAACACACTCAATCAAATACTAAACACTGCACTTGGGGTAAAATGACCCTTTTACCCTTGGTCAAAGTCAACTTACTTTCGGGGCTGACTCGCCGAGTTGGGCCGCCCAACTCGCCGAGTCTCACTCTCACTTCCAACTCATACTCACTGCGACTCGTCGAGTGTGGCATCGACTCGACGAGTACCCTCTTGATCCAAGAACTCAGACAATCTTCATCCGACTCGCCGAGTCGTATGAACAGACTCGACGAGTTGTTCTTGATCCTAAGGAGATTGCCTTGGACTCGCCGAGTTGTATGAACAACTCGTCGAGTCCCTCCATCACTGAGTCTACCCTCAAC